TATTATTTTAAGTAAAAAAGTTTAAATAAAAAGTGTTTAAATACTGTTACAATCCATTAAACGAACAATCAAAGCAAACTGCTTAAAATTCAAATAGAGCAACAGAAATAATTCTAACTAGGCAACATGTATGCTATACTAAACTGTCCCCATAAATTTATAAATTTATATTTAATGAGGCAGAGTTAACTTGCAGCTCTTCTTAGTCTAAGTTATCTAGGTTCATGCACATTTTCTAATAGATATCATGTGAGTCCACTTACCATTTTTACTTTTTTCTTAACAGAGTCTCTGTTTGTATTGGAGTTTTGTTCTACTTTCCAGACTATATCATTGGTTTTTTTTTTCTAATCCTTTCTCACCCATCCCTTTGCTTTCTGCCCCCAGTTCCCCTTTCATGTTTTTAAAGATTTATTTTATTTATTTGAAAGCCATAATGAGAGAGGAGAGAGAGAGAGAGAGAGAGAGAGATTTTCCAACTGTTCGGAACTGTTGGGTCACTCCCTAAATGGCAACAATGGCCAAGACTGGGCCAGTCCAAAACCAGGAACCTGGAACTCCATCCAGGACTCCCTACATGGAGGCAAGACCCCTGTCCACTACTTTCCCAGGTGCATTAGCAGGGAACTAAATTGGAAGTGGAGCAGCGGGAACTTGAACTGGTGCTTATATGTGGGATGCTGGTGTTGGATGGTGGCCTAACTCACTGCAGCATAATGTCCCCCCACTCCCACAATGCTCCATTTGGGGCTTTCATTCAGACTCATCTATTTCTTCTCTTTTTCCTTTGCGATGTCTATGACTGTATTTTAACACTGACAGTTTTAAGTATCAGTATCCTGACTAGTGGGGGCTGGCATTGTGATGCAGCAGGACAAGCTGCCACTACAACACTGGCATTCCATTTAGGCACCAGCTTGATCTCAGCTATTTCACTTGCCATCTAGCTCTCTGCTAATTTGCCTGGGAAAGCAGCAGAAGATGGCGCAAGTGCTTGGGCCCCTGCACCCATGTGGGAGACAAGGATGGAGTTCCAGGATCCTGGCTGCAGTCTGGTCCTGCCCCAGCCATTGCGGCCATCTGGGGAGTGAACCACTGGATAGAAGAGCTCCCTCTCTCTGTCCCTCTCCTTTTCCTCCAACTTTGCCATTTGAAGAAATAAACAAAATCTTTTGAAAAATCTAGCAGAGATCATGCTTATAGAAGTTGTTTTTGGAAGCTGGGCTTCTGTGAGAGGGCCTTAGCGACTTTGAAACTTACATCGTGTGAGTTCCTGCTTCAAAGCTTGTCCTAAAGCCCAAGTGAGGAGATACCATATTTGTTGTAGTTGTCTACAGCAATAGCCTGTTGTGTGACCTCCTGACAACCAGATTGCTTCCTTCAATTCTCCTGGCTCCTACCTCATCCACCACCTCTTTCCAGTCCTCTGGAGGGGGTGATCTTTATTAATCCCTGAAACACTCATTGTAGAATTTATGATCACCTGCCGTGCAGGTTCTTACTTGTTGAGACTTATTACTGCCTGTATCCTCTCTAACAGTATTCTGCCTTAGGGAAAATGGATTTTTACTATATCCTCACTCTTCCCTGCAGCTATTGTTCATCTTTCCTCAGAATTTGTGTGAAAGGAGATTTGCCAAAATTCCTGGAAAATAGGAAATAAAGAACTTTATTTTATTGCAATTTTTAAAAAAATCCATGCAGTTTTTCATAATGCTCATTTTCATGAACTATTGAAAGATCCCTTGAATGCATGCATTTCATTTTTTAAAGATTTATTTTATTTATTGAAATGTAGAGTTACAGAGAGAGAGGGAGAGACAGAGAGACAGGTTATCCATTCATTGGTTCACTCCCCAAATGGCCATAATGGCTGAAGCTGGGCCAGGGTGAAGCCGGGAACTTCTTCCAGGTCTCCCACATGAGTACAGGGCCCTAGTCACTTGGGCCATCCTCCGCTGCTTTCCCAGGTGCATTACCAGGGAGCTGGATTGGAAGTGGAGGAGCCAGGACAAGAATCGACCCCTATATGGGATGCTGGCACTGCAGGCAGCGGCTTAACCTGCTGCCCCACAGTGCTGGCCCTCTTTCTTTCTTTCTTTCTTTCTTTCTTTCTTTCTTTCTTTCTTTCTTTCTTTCTTTCTTTCTTTCTTTCTTTCTTTCTTCCTTCCTTCCTTCCTTCCTTCCTTCCTTCCTTCCTTCCTTCCTCTCTCTCTCTCCCTCCTTTCCTTTCCTTCCTTCCTTCCTTCCTTCCTTAATTCCTTCCTTCTTTCCTTCCTTTCTCTTTCTTTCTTTGCACCAAAATAAACTTATCTTTTAATTCAATTTTCCAGGACCTTTTTGAAGTACCCTTACTTTCTATTATTGAACTTACTGCTTTCTATCTTGGAACTTTAAATGCATTTCTCCCTGACTGCATGATCCCATTGATAAATGTCAGAGCATCTCTTCTTTTAATTCCCATAGCATTTTGCACAATATTATTGTTCAGCCAACCCTTTTCCAGTGGGCTGAATGTTATGCTAAGCAGGATCAGCTATGTTTCCTTGATGGTGGGCAGTTGCCAAGAACAGAATAGTTAGGGCTATGACAGCAAGGTAGATTCTTCCAAGTGGGGAAATCTAGGTAAGGAGAGGTTGGAAGCAGTGGCGGGTGTGCAAATCAGTGACAGAACCTGGAGCCTGCTCCCAGGGCTGGGCACAGTGAGCTTTTCTTTGCAGACACAAGGTGGCAGACTATGTCCACGTCAGTCATTGTGTACAGGGCAGCCACACAGAGCTGGTGTTTCCTGTGTTCATGGGTGGGGAGGAATGAAGGAAGCTGGTGCAGCTTGCTGGCTGAGACATGAGTTTGGACAAAGCACAGGCCAGTGGCCTGCGTGCCGGCTGTCCCTGTGTGTGTCTCTCTGGTCCTTCCCTGTCTGGAAGAACTCACCCATGTCTGCAGAATCTGAGAACAATGTCTGGCAGATGTGCTTCCTGTTTTCCTTAAGCTGAGAAGCATGGATCTTGTCAGTGTTTTGAAGAAACAGCCATGAGCATTCAAGGTAGAAGACAAGAGACAAAATGGGACCAGGGAACAGAAATGTGCGATTTCCTGACTAGAGAGCAGGCCAGGTGGATGACCTCTGGGAGGCCCCACCTGGAAGTACCCGTAGAAAACATCTGTTCTCTCCAGAAGGTTGCATTTCTCCTTTACCACACCAAGTACTTTTCCTGTGAGCAGACCTCTTGCATGGAGAAGTCTAATATAACCTGGAATACAAGTAGCAGGCTGATTTCAATTCATTTATCTGCAATTCCTATTCTGATAGTTTTATTCATTTCATTCAGCTTTTTTAATGCCAAATTATGTTTTATTTAAAAAGCGAAGTACTATAAATAGTTTCTTAGCGAACTCTGATGGTGACATGGGGTGATATGTTGTCTTTCCATTGATACTGGCCTCTGTTATGTCTGGAAGATGGAAAACAAAAGAGAAAAAAGCCATATTCCTTGTCTTCAGATTCTACCTAGCATTCCCCCCACCGTGTACACACATAGTCTTACAATATCCATGTGTGTGTATGTGTGTATAGAAGTCCCAGTACATCTGCCTACACATACGGCGTCCATTGTATATTATGTGTATCTATCTTTGTGATGTATGGCAGTGCAGGGAGTAGGGAACAGCAGTCTCTGGAGCAGACTGCCTGGGCCCAGATTCCTGCTAATAGTTGGGACACTTACAGTTCTGTGTCTGTTTCCTCATTTGCAGGATGTGAAAATTCCCAGGTAACAGGGAAGCTGTGCAGACTAAAGGATTTACGGAAGCATGCCGTTTGGGAGCCACTCAAGCCACAGTAGCCACAGTTACTTGTGTGTATGTGGAGACACTGATTTAGCCACAGCTCGTGCTCTCATTTTTTTTAGGAGAGAAGCACTTCTAACTATCCACTGGGGGTGTTTGGATTGTTTTTGAAGACATCATAATATTGTACTGACATTGACTTGTATTTATACAAGTAGCAGACTCAACTCAGTAGCCTAGCTTACTGAATGTGGCAGCAGTACTCTCTGCTCCTTGGAAACTTACATGTTAAAGAAACCAGAGAAATAACACGCACCTTTCTCTCTCCACCTCCCACCTGTCCTCTTCTTTTTCCTATTGTCCTTGTTTAGAGGAATGGAGAGGCATATCAGGAATTCAATTTAATAGCAAAAAATGACAAACACGTTACAGCAAAGTGAAGCAAAGTCTTTAGCTACTAAAGAACTATTTTTCTCACAGAACATAGGGTGCTGAAAGATGGAGGATGATGGAGTTGATTCAGTTGCATCTCTGTGATTATTTTGTTCACTTCCTCATGGCCACAAAATGGCTGCTGCTCCTCCAGGCATTATGTTCATGCTGATTCAAGAAGAAGAGCATGAGAAAGGAGAAAAGGTCATGGTTGGCTTTATTTTTATCAGGAAGATTAAAAGCCTTGAAAAATGCTTTCTCTTCTTTTACTGGGATTCTTATATCTAATTTCCAGAATGGTGTCACATTGGTAATGATGTCGCTTCTACATTGAATGACAGAAGAAAGAAGTAGGCTAGAAATGATTTAGGAATGGCCGGTGAACAGTATCTGTCTACCTACATTTTGTTTTGCCTTTGTCCTTGTCTTCCTCCTCAAATTTCATGTCTTCTATCCGTCCTCCATCTACTCTATTCTCTGGAAGGAGGTAGAATTGACAAAAGGGCTGAGATTTATTTCAGGAAATACCATTTGTGTTATAAGATGTTGTAAAAGAGTAAGGGGGAGGAACATGGAAGGGTATGAAGTAGGAGATCTTTACCAGGCATAGGGTCAGAGGGAAGAGGAAGAGGTGGCTGAAGCAGAGTGGTGGGGGAAGCACCTTCAGATTCCATCCAGCCTTTAATTCCATGGGTGCTGCTTTTGCTAGAGGTGGGACTGATCTCCCTGCCTGGGTAATGATGCACCACAGACAACGGCCTTTCCTATAGATCATTTAATTAGAGATTATCACAAAAAGAGATCGTTTATCTTCAAGGCTACAATACAACCAACATAACAAGATGTTTGTGAGAGTCACAGACTATGTTTTAAATGGCATACATTCAAGCAAATAGTACTTATTCCATAAATTCTTAATAAGATTTTTGTTTTGCTTAAAGAACCTTATAACTTGGAATAGAATTTCATACTGTGACCATTAAAGTTGTGAAAGTTCCCCGGAGGAGACCAAGCTCCTTGGTTCACTTGGTTCTCCCACTCTATCCTCCCCGGCACTGGTTTGCTGTTGGGTGGCTCTGGGCTGTTGTCAGCTTGCAGGGGGCTAGGTATTCAGACCACGGCCTGCTGGCATCCCTGGGGACTAGTCACCATCACTCTCACTTGAACTGCCGCTGTCTGATGATTCACTGCTGTCGTCCTTTTTACGGAGCCTAAAACTCCTATTGGAATGAGATCTTCTGTAACCCCACAAGCCTTTCCTTTGAGGCACACCGCTATTCCACGCCTCATTGTCTTGTGGGTGAGGTACATAATGATTTTTTCTGCTGTGTGTTATTGTATTCCCTCTGTTATTGGGGCCACCATGGGAACCTATTTCATTTTTCATTTCATTATCAAGACCACGAGAAGGACTGAGCAGGTCCTGACTTTTGCCCTTGGCGGAAAATCTTTGGTTCTCATGTACATTTACTTGGTTTCTATCAGAGTGTCCCGTACCTTTTCTGCTGCTTCCTTTGCCATTCTTAGGAATTTCATTGTAATTGGTACTTGGGGTTGCATCACGACTGCCTTCTTTTCTTTTTCCTTGTGAGGGTGCCTGAGGGAAATGAAATTCAACTTTTCCTTGGTGGGCATTTTGGCTGTCAGCATCCACTCTGTTTCCTTCTTTTCCAGGGAGTTTCTTAAAATTGGTACTACCTATGATGTCATTGCTGCCTTTTGCAAGGCTGACATCAGTAGCCTCTTTCGCTGTTTGATCTCTGGTTCCAAAGGCATCACCACCATTTTCTTCTCTCTCTGGGATCTCATTATAGCCTGGTCCTTTTGTGTCGGGATCGATAGCCTCAGCTTTCCTTGGACCTGAAAACCCTGTTTGGACATCTATACCTCCTGGGTCGGGACCAATCACTCCTCCTTTACGAGGAATGTCCTTGGAAGGTTGGCCATCTCCACTGAATGGAGTGATGTCATTGTCCCCTCTCCCCGTGTAACCACTACCTTCAAAATCCCTAGAGACCTTTTTGACTTTGGGGAGCTGTTTTAGGTAATCAGCATTGTGTTGGATATGACGGATGCTCTTGCTTTTTATTGGACTACTCTGTACTTGAGAATCTCTTTGATGGTTCCTTTTTTCTTTTGAGTGGATTTTGGCATAGTGAATACCTTCTGGAATGCTCCTTACAACATTCCTAAGTTTACTCTTTCGGTTTTCTTCCCCCAGGGCTCCAGTCACCATCATGGGCCCCATGGTGTGCTGTGTATTCTTTCCAATGAGCCCTGTACTGTACTCTTCCTGGTCATGGAATTTGCCAGTGGCATCATCTCCATCCTCAACCCCTCTGTCCCCAGTGGGTTCAGGATAAATGGACATTTCTCGGTCATTGTGGACACTGGTGGTAATAACGCTGAGGTCTTCATTCAGGGTCTGCCTATTTGTGGAAGGTGTTTGAGATTTAACACTCCGGTTCTTTCCAATGGTTTCCAAAAGGGCCAGATCTCTTCCCTGCGCAGTATCTTTAGGTGACAGCTGCTGATTTCTTCTCTTGTCAAAGTGGTCAAGAGCGGCATTCTCTTTGTCTTTCTTCTCTTCTTCCTAAAGTACAATTTTCAATACATAGCGATTATCTTATGTTAAATTTTTAAAAATCAAACAATTCCTATGCAGTATAGAAAGCTATCCATCAGATATTCGATAAAAAAAGAGTCTATTAACTCTATAGGAGTTTATTAGGAGAGACAGAATTTGAAAATGTAGCTTAGAGCCAGATTTTAAAGGAGGATCTGAAGTTAAGAATAGCATGATAAAAAGAGCATGGTTCTCATTTTGTACGTAGGGATCATAGCAAGTGAAATGAATTTTATTTAAAATTAAACTTTTGTGGTGTGTGTGTGTTTGTCCTGATCATCATGAGTTACCACAAGATTTCCTTTTTCTTTTTAACAAAATCTACAAATAAATTATCGCAGGTAATACTCAGCTCTGACTTTCAATATAGGGCTTTGCAGCAGTTTTGCAGCCCAGTTATTGTCTAAAAAAAGTATCCATTAATTTTCTTTGTTTCTGCCTTTGTCACATAATAAAGCAAATTTGATAGTCTAGATCAGTAGTCCTCCAGTTTACCATTTATAGGAATTATCTGGAAGGTTTGCTTAAACAAAATTGTTGGCCAATGGCTAGAGAGTCTGACTCAGTGGGTCCAGGGCTGGGCTGGAGAATCTGCATCTGTGATCAGCTTCTGGATGATGAAAAAGCGGAGGCCTGTGTCTCTGTTTCTCCTTTTTCAGAGACTGGGGTGGACTCTGTGTAGATGCTACTTCTCAGCCAGTGCGAGGCCAACCTGGAGTACACTTGGCAGAACACAGAACTAAGGAGCTGATTTGAGTTTGGCCTGTGTCACTCAGTGATTCTCTGTGACACAAGCTGGACACAGAAGTGTCCTGAGGGGACTGAGCATTTGGCCTACTGATGAGAATGGGTTAAGACACTCATATCCCATGTCAGAGTGTCTGGGTGCGTCTCCCAGCCCTGCTGCTAATCCTGGGGGGAGAAGGAGGCAGCAGGGATGCCTCAAGTATTTGAGTTCCTATCACTTATATGGGAGACCTGGATTAAAATTCTGGTTCTTGGCTTTAGTCTAGCCCAGCCCTGGCTGCTGCAGGTATTTGGAGAATAAAGCAGTAGGTGGAGTTCTGCCACTGTATTTCTCAAATAAATAAGTAAAAATAGCTTTTAAAAATTATAAAAAATAAAATATGGTCTGAGAGTCCAGTCCAGAGGTTTCCAGATGGTGTTATCATAGAGGGAGCGATGTGACCATAAAAGGAGCAATGGAGATGGAGCACACACACTGGGGCCAAGTCTGAATCATAAACAAAGAGGGGTCAAATCTGCTTGTGAGAGCCAAGAAAAGATGAATCACCCCTGGGCCCCACCGCAGTTGTACTGAATAGATCCTTCGCTGTGGAGCCAAGAACACACAAGTCCTGCGGCATTGTCTCATGTGTGTCTGAAGATCCCAAGTCTTCCTCTCTGCTGTGAAGCAAGGCCCATTTGCACACGAGGTCTATGCTGTGTGGAGGTGATGTATGCCATACCTGGGTGTCGTCATTAAGAAACAACAAAGGAGCGAGGGCCCGAGAATATTTAGCTAGAGGAGACTGCAGGATGTACCTAGAGAACTATTAAAATTGTTAGATGACCTTTAGTTTAAACAAGTTGATTTTAAGTTCTGCACCTTCTCCTGTTTCTGTATTAATCCCTTGGCTAGGAGTTCTTGTGTACCAAAATAATTATAGAAGAATTAATGCTACACTTTCTTTCTATCTCCAAGTTGCAGAATGAGCTAGAGTTTACAAGGTCACTATGTGGGCATTTGAACTGGTGAATAAGATGAAATCATTATGGGTTATTTATTGAGGGACTTGGACATGTGTGGAACTGAGCTGTGCACCACCTGTCCTAAGCAGTGCCAAATGACTTCCTGAACAGCAAAGGTAGCATCCTGGAGGGTACAGAGTGTTGATACTTGCAGTTCTCTCTTGTTGGGTCCCTATGACCAGACCCATCATCTGTCTAATTCTCCTTTGGCTTTGAATCACAAATCAGCTGTAGATGCTGATGTGGCACAAAGCACACAGCATTTCTTAGCTTCCTTGCCTTGGCCACAGTCCTGTTCTTACTAATACAGCTTAATTCTGTCCTTTTCTGCCACATTTCAATCTGTTGGCTTTTGTTGAATGTGTGAACATCTTCTTGGAAGTGTTAATTGAGGATGTGGTAATAGGTGAAAGGCCACTGATGGAGAAATAAAGATGGCCAGCTGGAAGCTCACTCTTAGGGGTGATTACAAAGAATATGCAAAACTGGATCCAGGGGGCTGGCATTGTGGTATAGTAGGTTAAGCCTGTGCCTGAGGTGCCAGCATTTGCTATGGGCACTAGTTCGAGTCTCAGCTGCTCCATTTCTGATCCAGCTCCCTGTTGATGGCCTGGGAAAAAAGTGGAAGATGGCCCAAGTGCTTGGGCTCTTGCATTCCTGTGAGAGACCTGGAAGAAGCTCCTGGCTCCTCACTTCAGATTGGTCCAGTTCTGGCCATTGTAGCCATTTGGCAAGTGAATAAGCGAATGAAAGACTGCTCACTCTGTCTCTCCCTCTCTCTGTAACTCTGATCTTTAATAAATAAATAAATCTTTAAAAAAAAAAAGTGGATCCGGAGCGGAGCCAAGATGGCGGAATAGTGAGGGCGCGCACCGATAGTCCGGGAAAATTTAGTTTAATAAAAGGGGAGTTACGGTAGCCTCAGAAAAAAGAACCAGGAAAATATTGCAGAGGAAACCCTTCTGGATTGAGTGGTAGTGAATCGGAGGACCTACTGGGAGAACAAGGTCGCCCACCGCGCGGAAGCCGAGCTGCGGGACCGAGCCGCGGAAGCCGAGCCGCGGGACCGAGCCGCTGGAACGCGAGGTGAGCCGAACCTCAATAGCCCGAGACACCGGCAGGCAAGCGGAGAGAGGAGACTAGAGGGAACGACCCCCCGGGGGGGGGGGGACTTCACCAGGCTAACTGGAAGAGAGAGAGAGGTGACTGGTACGGACACGGGTTTCTCTCTCTCCGTTCACCTCTCAAGGGCGAGCAAGACAAAGAGCAGGCGCCATCTTGGACATACGTCATAAGCAGAGCGACCTCAGGTCTGCACCGGCCCTGAGCCTAGCAGAAAAACCTGACTCTGGGCGGGGCGAATTAACAGGAGATTAGGACCTAGTAAATTTGTGGTGCTACTGAACTGAGACTGTGAAAAAAGAGACGGTGGGGGAGAGAACTCACGGAATTCACGTGAGCACTCTCCAGAGACGCTATAATTCCGTAACTTTGGCAACCCAGTGGGAGACTGAAGGAGAATTTGAGCCCTCTCTGAGGGCCGAACAGATTCCCTGTGTGGTCCTTGGGAAAGAGCTTCTGATCTCTGGCTCCTGTGGGTATATCATTTGCCTGCTAACTACCTCCAACTTCGTCCAGCTGTGCAGAATAACTTCCCTTTTGAATCAAAAAAAAAAAAAAGAAAGAGAGAGAGAGAGGTTTACCACGCCTAACCTGGGAGTGTCACCTTTGGCACACCAAACAGAGCTCTCAGGCCACACCCATCTCAAGCCCTAAGGCTCCATCAAAAACAGATAGTCCACTTAATCTAGAGTCATAGTATAACAAGAAAAAGCACCACAGTGAAGAAACCAAATATCTCCAATATGCCAAATAACAAACGCAAAAACCAAGGTAATAAAAACAAGGAAGTCACCATGAAGCCCTCAAATGAAAAAGACACCCCAATTCAAGATTATGAGGATGATGACATAGAAGAAATGCAAGAAGCAGATCTCAAAAAATTGATAAGAACATTAAGAAGTTCTCAAAAACAAATTCTTGAACTACAGAAATCCTTAATGGACAAGATAGAAAATCTCTCTCGTGAAAATGAAATATTAAGGAGGAATCAAAATGAAACGAAACAACTAGTACAACAGGAAACTGGGATAGTGACTGAAGTGAAGAATTCAATAGATCAAATGAAAAACACAATAGAGAGCCTTACAAACAGAATGGGTGAAGCAGAAGAGAGAATATCAGACTTAGAAGACAGAGAACAGGAAAGGATACAGTCGGACCAAAGAAAAGAAGAGGAAATTAGGAATCTAAAACATATTGTTGGGAATCTTCAGGATACTATTAAAAAACCCAACATTCGGGTTCTAGGAGTTCCTGAAGGCATGGAGAGGGAGAAAGGATTAGAAGGCCTTTTTAGTGAGATATTAGCAGAAAATTTCCCAGGTTTGGAGAAGGACAGAGAAATCCTAGTACAGGAAGCTCACAGAACCCCTAATAAACACGACCAAAAGAGATCCTCACCACGACACGTTGTAATTAAACTCTCCACAGTGAAACATAAAGAAAAGATCCTAAAATGTGCAAGAGAGAAACGTCAGATTACTCTCAGAGGATCTCCAATCAGACTCACAGCTGACTTCTCATCAGAAACTCTACAAGCTAGGAGGGAATGGCGAGATATAGCCCAGGTACTAAGAGAGAAAAACTGCCAGCCCAGAATATTATATCCTGCAAAGCTATCATTTGTGAATGAAGGTGAAATAAAGACTTTTCATAACAAACAGAAATTGAAAGAATTTGTTGCCACTCGTCCAGCCCTGCAAAAGATGCTTAAAGATGTGTTACACACAGAAACAAAGAAACACAGTCATCAGCATGAAAGAAGGTAAAGGAAGGAAACCAAGGAAGGAAACCTCACAGCAAAAGATCACAGGGAATTCAAAGCATATATTAGAACTTATCTTTGGCAAATGGCAGGGCAAAGTTACCACTTATCATTAGTCACATTGAACGTGAATGGCCTGAACTGTCCAGTTAAAAGACACCAATTGGCTGATTGGGTTACGGAACAAAACCCATCTATTTGCTGCTTACAAGAAACTCATCTTTCCAACAAAGATCCATACAGACTGAAAGTGAAAGGCTGGAAAAAGATATACCATGCCAACAGAAATGAAAAAAGAGCAGGCGTAGCCATCTTAATTTCAGACAACATAAACTTTACCACAAAAACCGTTCAGAGAGACAAAGAGGGACACTACATAATGATTAAGGGATCAATTCAACAGGAAGATATAACAATTATCAATGTATATGCACCTAACTACAGGGCACCAGTTTATCTAAAAGATTTGTTAACGGACTTAAAGGGAGACTTAGACCCCAATACAATAGTACTGGGGGACTTCAATACTCCACTCTCAGAAATAGACAGATCAATAGGACAGAAGATCAACAAGGATACAGTAGATTTAAACGACACTATAGCCCAAATGGATCTAACAGATATATACAGAACTTTCAATCCTACAGCTAAAGACTTTACATTCTTCTCAGCAGTACATGGAACCTTCTCTAGGATTGACCACATACTAGGCCATAAAGCAAGTCTCAGCAAATTCAAAAGAATTAGAATCATACCATGCAGCTTCTCAGACCATAAAGGAATGAAGTTGGAAATTAGCAACTCAGGAATCCCTAGATCATATGCAAACACATGGAGATTGAACAACATGCTCCTGAATGAACAATGGGTCATAGAAGAAATCAAAAGAGAAATCAAAAACTTTCTGGAAGTAAATGAGGATAACAGCACAACATACCAAAACTTATGGGACGCAGCAAAAGCAGTGTTAAGAGGAAAGTTTATATCAATAGGTGCCTACATCAAGAAATTGGAAAGGCACCAAATAGATGAGCTTTCAATTCACCTCAAGGATCTAGAAAACCTACAGCAAACCAGACCCAAATCTAGTAGGAGAAGAGAAATAATTAAAATCAGAGAAGAAATCAACAGGATTGAATCAAGAAAAACATTACAAAAAATCAGCCAAACGAGGAGTTGGTTTTTTGAAAAAATAAACAAAATTGACACCCCATTGGCCCAACTAACTAAAAAAAGGAGAGAAAAGACCCAAATCAATAAAATCAGAGATGAAAAAGGAAACGTAACAACAGACACCACAGAAATAAAAAGAATATCAGAAATTACTACAAGGACTTGTATGCCAGCAAACAGGGAAACCTATCAGAAATGGATACATTCCTGGACACATGCAACCTACATAAATTGAACCAGGAAGACATCGAAAACCTAAACAGACCCATAACTGAGACAGAAATTGAAACAGTAATAAAGGCCCTCCCAACAAAGAAAAGCCCAGGACCAGATGGATTCACTGCTGAATTCTACCAGACGTTTAAAGAAGAACTAAATCCAATTCTTCTCAAACTATTCAGAACAATCGAAGAAGAGGGAATCCTCCCAAATTCTTTCTATGAAGCCAGCATCACCTTAATTCCTAAGCCGGAAAAAGATGCAGCACTGAAAGAGAATTACAGACCAATATCCCTGATGAACATAGATGCAAAAATCCTCAATAAAATTCTCGCCAATAGAATGCAACAACACATCAGAAAGATCATCCACCCAGACCAAGTGGGATTTATCCCTGGTATGCAGGGATGGTTTAATGTGCG